GATGAGTCACGGCCATTGCTTGGCCAATGTGCTCTCTGTGAAAGCCTGAGAGAATGTTCTCTCTCCATGTGACTCTCCTTAGGCACACTCTACATCATCGATCACTTTCCTCTTTGGCCCCTAAGTATAAATTCTGCATTATACAGATTTATCATTTTGTTCAACCACCATCACAGAGAAGCACACCAATGGAATGGGCAGATGCAGCAGGGTGCAGTGGCGTGGGTGATTAAGTTCAGATGTCCTCAAGGCTAGTGTAATAAGCCAGTTGTTATCAGAGAGGGACCAACTGAACTCTGAATTCAGAGCCACTGCAGGTTGGTTCCATTAGTGGCTCCCAGTGTCAGGGTGCAGCTGGACCAAGTTCAAGTCATCAGAGGGGCAAAGAGCCCAGTTCACGGTGGCAGGAGGCACACAGTGCTGTAGGCTGAACAAATCAGTGCCAGCTGCATACTGAACTTCAGTAGAACTAAGAGTATAGGCTTGCTGAGATGGTTCACTACCTCGTCTTAAACCTACCACTGGCTTGCTGTGATTCATCTACACAGATCTGGGGCTCTGTCTGCCTACTGTCTCTACTAGGGACAGCACAGACATGCCCTGAAGTGGCATTTTCTTTTCTTGTTTGGTCTTGGTTTTTTGTTTTGTTTTGTTTTTTTTGGTGGAACCGGGGATTGAACTCAGGAGCTTGCGCTTGCCGGGGAAGCACTTATTCCACTCAGCCATCTCACCAGCCCCTGGTTTTGTTTTTGAGATGAATATTATTTCTAGTTTTTTGTTGTTGTTCTGTTTTTTTTATTTCTCTTTCCCTATCTTCTTCATCAGTTTCCTAAAGTTTGTGTGTTCTTTCTTTATCCTGCAGCCTTCCTTCTAATCTCTTCCACGTATAATTCTCTATTTTTAACCTATAACCTCATTTAAATTTTCTCCCGAGGGCAAAATCACCATATTGAGGCATACCTGCTGTATATAATTTTCTGGTTTTAGATTTTGTTATATAGCCACAAATCTAATTCATTAGGTGGCAAATTAACAGTTACCACAGTTTGTCATTTTCTAGGCTGTATTTGATGCAACTGCTATTTACGATGGTGCTATATTAGCCAAGAAGACATAATTACTATAATCAGTTGTTTTTCCCAGTAGTCCAAGACTGAGATTGCCTGAGAATTGCACTATAAGCCAGTGCCAAAGAACCAAGGGGTAGGCCAAATGGGCAGCAAATCCTCACCCTCAATAAACTGAAGAGCTAGGATCTTACATCAGACTAAAAACCCAAAAGCAGCTACATGTGGTGGACACCTCTGAAAATGTATCAGAAAGTGAAAAGATAACCCTTTTTCTTGGGGAGGAAGAACCAATATAATAAAAAGGACCTTATTTACAACACTGGTATACAGATTTAATGCAATCCCAGTCAAAATATCAACAGTATATCTTACAGAATTAGAGAAAATAACCCAAAATTCATTTGGAACCACAGGAGACCTAGCAGTAAAAACAAATTCTGGGCGGGAAAGACAAGGCAGGCGCTGGGGAAATGGCTCAGTAGAATAAGTGCTTGCCTGGCAAGCGCAAGGGCTTGAGTTCAATCCCCAGTTCCA